TATATTTTTTCTTCTACCCTGAAGATGGAGGCGATACGTTCCTCCGAAACGTCGGTTAACACCACATATACACGGTGCCAAATCCCAGAAGACTGCTTTCTTCATAGTCACCGCCGTGAAAGCCTCAAATCTTACATTTACTGTCGTGTTACCAAGATACTCTTGACAATATTAAAATGGTTACACTTAAGATCAAGCAGTGTGACGGATCGACAGATTTCTCTGCTAAGATCTTGAATATTAAGCACGAGTACAATTCATCCAACCGTTTAGGCACTGATGAGGAGCACACATTACTAAAAACCTGTCTCGTAATACGCATGTCGGAAAGCAGAAATATATGTTGCTACAGCAGACTCCTTGGCACGAACAGCGTCTGTAATGTTCAGTTGGCGCTTTTACTGCGCCGTTGCATAGCGTAGGTCTAAGCGTGGACCACATCTTGAGTAGAGAAGTCATCCACTGATGGTACTCTGACAGGCCATATAGAGGAATGGTGATGGTTTTATTCTTCGTCATCTGCGGCTTGGGGTAGTTCAGAGGGCCCCTGTGTCCTCAATCTTCTTACATTTGATGGGCTGCTAATTTCTACAACTAGTCTAGTCTGTAATTGTGTCCGAGTATGCTTTGATGTTAGAATGTTGACAATATGTATTTCTCCTATAACAATTTGGATTTGAAGATCATTATGGATAGTAAAGTTGGAGACATACCAAGGTGCTTCAGTTACTGAACTCAGGAATTTGGATTGAAGTATTTGAATTATTTTTGACCTTGATGTGTACAGCCCCATAGCTGTACACCATATGTCCATGTGGGTTTCATTGTACACTTGTGTAGTAGAAATTTGTTTTCTATGGATAGTTTGGATTTACGGCCCCAAAGCCAAGAGATATCTCGTAGTTTTAAATTTAAGTTCTGGCGCTTTGTTTTGACTTGTTCCTGCTATATCAGAGTTTGGTCGAGGTATAATCCTAAGTATTTTCATTCAGTCTGAACTGGCATTTGCAAATTATTGATGGTAACCTGAGGGCAAGTTATGCGTTTCGTGGTGAATGTAACTTGCACTGATTTTGTCTGGTTTATTTTTATTTTCGATTTTCTGTGCCATTGCTGGAGGAGGTTTAAGTGATGCTGGAGATGTTTTGATGCTACTACTGGATCATTATTTGCTGCTAGCAGGGCTGTGTCATCCGCGAAGTTTGCGATTGTAGTGCTGATTTTTGTGGGCAAGTCTGCAGTATAGATTGTGCATAGTAGAGGCCCCATTACGCCTCCTTGCGGTACACCTGTTTTCACGTGGTAGCAATCAGAATATGACTTATTATATTTTATTTGATAGTGTCTTTCAGTGATGCATGACTGCAAAAGTAGGTAGTATGTTCTGTGAAATGTATTTTTGATTATATGTAGTAGTCCATTGTGCCAGACGTTTTCAAACGCCCGAGTTATATCAAGGAAAACTGCTGCACACAATGTCTTCTCTCCGAGGCTTGTTGAGCTCTTTCTTACGATTCCATGTGTTTGTTGTATTGTGGAGTGTCCTTCCCTGAATCGTAATTGGTAATCGAGAATAACAGTTGACAGGT